TCTTAATATTTATTCATGAATAGACATAAAAAAATGCATGAAATACAGAAACAAAATGTACAACAGAAATCGTCAAAAATCTGAGCTCACAAAATTGAGGGTACATGTAATTATTTTATTACATAAATTATAAAAAAACAACACATTAATATTTTGTAGCATACCCACTGGCTTTGATGACAGCTTCCAGCCGCCGGGACATCGAATCGACAAGATTTTTCGTAATTTCGGGTGAAATGTTTTCCCACTCCACTTTTAGTACATGCTTCAAATGTTCTTTACTTGTGATCTGATGTTTTCGGACCTCTTTTTCAAGGTGGGACCACAAATTTTCGATCACGTTCAAATCAGGAGATTGAGGGGGTGTGTTCAGCTGATTTCGGCAGTGATACAGCAGCCATTCTTTGACAGTATTTGCTGTATGCTTTGGATCATTATCCTGTTGAAATGTGAATTTTGATCCTAGTCCCAATTGAGTAGCACTGTCCTTCAAATTATTTTTCAATATATTAAGATAACCCATTTTTTATCCATTATTCCATCAATAAACACTAGCTTTCCAACTCCCGATGATGCCATACAGCCCCAAACCATTACTGACCCACCTCCATGCTTCACATTTGGAATTGTGTTTCTTGGATCTTAAGCTAAATTTTTCTTGCGCCATACCATACGATGACCGTCACTGCCAAAAACATTAAATTTACTCTCATCGCTGAAAATAACTTCATTCCAGAACTCTTTAGGCTTTAGAATGTGCTCTTTAGCAAATTTTAATCTCTTAACTCTATTTATTTTACTAATGAAGGGCTTCTTGAGAGCTTTTTTGCCATTATAACCAGCCCTTCTGAGGATTCTGCGCACTGTTTCTGAAGAAACAGATTTACCCACAGTTTCCGAAGTACTTGCGGCAATTCTTGGGGCACTTATTGTAGGATCAATCCTTACCTTGTGTACAATTCTCCTCTCTCTGCTGCTGAACTGAGAATTTTCTTCCTGCCCTCTCCTGCTTGGTTTTCCAGCGTACCGTCCTTTCTAAATTTTTGAATGATTTTTCTAATACAATTTACACTTCTTCCAAGTATTTCTCCTATTTTTCTCAAAGATTTGCCTTGATTAGACAGATTAAAGGCCAGTTTTCTTTCCTCAATCGTCGTTTCTTTCCTATTCTCCATATTTGTCACACATAAAGGTAGTAAGCTCAAATTTGAAATATTTGGATACTAAAAGGTTGTATTTTTGTATAAATCTTAGATACAAATTATTTTTAAAATTTTACTGGTAGTTTTACACAGTCATTTAAGAAGTGTACTCTCAATTTTGTGACTTTCAGAAGTTGAAGATTTTCATTTAAGTAATGATTTAATTTAAGTAATAATTTAATTTTTAACGGAGTTTTATAACTTATTTTTTGTGTAGTTAAGAAGAAAAATGTATATTTTTGATGGGACAAAACTAGGAAAACTTGCATAATAATTTCTATTCTTAATAGCCTACAAATTAAGTTAGCATTAAGTGTACTCTCAATTTTGGGACTCACTGTACATATCCAGCAAGCGGGACTGTGTATCGGAAATTCTAAAGATAAGCTCTTTTTAAATTACTTTGCGATATTGCTGTTGAATTGAATTTTATGGTTTAAGAGCGAAGAACATGATGTTTAATAAATAAAGGTAACACACAAAATGTTAAAGAAAGCCCCTTTTGGATGTAATATAAAATCTGAAAACTTTCATTTTTTTAATTATCTTTATTGATATGGAAATTCATTAACAAGTATGTAGTTTCTTTTGTTACATCAATCAGAGAAATACAACCGTTGCCTTAAAAGACATATTCCCACGATTATCTGGAAAAAAATAAACGGTTTCCTGCGGTGATGACTTTTTGGGCTTATCTCTCTAACATAAATCGGCTCTAAAGACCAAGATTTTAAGAAAGATGGAAAGTTTTAAGTGTTTATTAGCAGTGCACAAAACTACTGGCAAGTAAGTTCTAATCCATCTGAATATAGAAAATTCTACTGTGCTTTGAGAATGCTGATTCCTTCATTCCATCAACATAATTTAGAAATTAACCAAGATATATTTAGAAGCAAGAAAAATTAGAAGGTTAGAAGCAAGAATAAAGCGGCTGGTTAGCCTAATAACATCTGGTTTATTAAAAATATTAAGCACTAAGAGAAAGAATGAAGAATCTCATCTCACTCAACTAAGGACCCGTCTTTGGAAATTCAGCAGAGGAGTCAGTAAAATTTACGACAACAAATTGGCTGATTATTATATTCCGACAACTAAATAGGATGTTTGCATGACGTTTTTTTCCACATTTAACGTGAATACAAGCCCAGTTTCCCTTACAACCCCCCTCCCAACCACGATGCTATCCCTCCCAAAACAACCTCGACCTCAACTATTCAATCGATTCTAGATTCGAGTCCCAATCCAGGAGCCCTACCATTGGTAGAGGAGTTAAGACAGCTGAATGCTAAGAGTTCAGCCAGGGTTCCATTCTACTAGATGAAAGAGCACAAATGGGTTTCGTGGTTTTCCCGTGCGTAACATAACGTCAGTTACCTTTAAAAAGTGCTCCCGAAGGCAACCTACGTGTTTAGGAGATATCCCTCGCAGGAAAACGCTTTTGCCATATTTAAATACACTAGCCTTATCTATCCCGATCCATGCAAATTAAATTCTTGACTTGAATGAAGGTACAAATATGTGAAATTTACTAAAAACCAATTTGTTAAATGTTATACAAAAATACCACTGAGTCACATGGGCAACTAGTTCAAAACTCGTGGGTTTTACTATCGACAACCATGATATCCCTTAACACATCTTGTTAACAATCCCTAACTCTTTTCAGAGATTTTATATACAGTGGCTCACAAAAATGATCGGACACTTTTAATTTTTACATTCTTAAAGAACATAAAAACTAAAATAAATTAAAACAAAAAGAAAAGCTTTTGACTATATACAAATTCAACATTTTTTATAGAAAATACATTTTCGAAAAGATGAAAGTTAAATTCAAAAATCAATATCGTTTGTTTGATTTGAAAACGTACTCTCACAAAAAATAATCAGACACTTTAAGTAACAGCCAAGAATCACAAAAAGCACTTATATTGTTTTTGCTTCTTAGTATCTTGTGGGATTACCTTTACACCTGATCACTTTATTTATCTGTTGGGCATTGACTCCACAAGGTTTTTTGCTATTTTTGAACTTATTTTATTCCACTACTCCTCTACACTGCTTTCAGCTGCCACGAAGATATGCTCTGTTTTCGAATTTTCGATTCTAGTCCTGCCAAATATGTTCACCAGGATTGAGATCTGGCGATTGAGGTGAAGCCTTAATTACTTCTGGACACTTATATAACAGCCAGTCTAACATTGTGCGTAGTATGCTTTGGATCGCTGTCCTAGTAGAATTTAAAACTATCTAGATATTAAGTTTTGTGCTGCGATGTCAAATTTCGCTTCAAAATGTCAAGATACTTACACTAATACATATTACCATCTATAAACTCTGTATCACCAACACTGGAATGTGCCATAGATCCCCATATCATAACTCTTCCTCCGCCGTGTTTTAAACACTCGGTACTGAGTTTTGCTTCCGAAATTTTCTTTGGGTTTTCTCCACACCAACACTCGTCCGCCTGAGCCTAAGATGTTAAATTTATTTTCATCAGCAAACAAGCTTTTTTTTTCAGCAGACGGGCGTCTTTCGTTTCATTGACTTTGCGAAAGCGAGTCTGAATTTTCGGGTTTTTTTTTACTGACACAAAATTTTCTACTCACTACTCACCCGTGATATTCTGAAGATCGCATTATTCTTCTTACAGTTTCTTATTTTACACATATTCCATATAATTCACAAAGTTCCGCAATAAGTTCAGGAGCTCTCACTCAGTCTTGCATTCTTTTTAATATTCCTTAGAATAAAGCGTTCCATTCCAGCAGTCTTGGGATGGTCTTACAGGTCTTCGTTTGTTTTGAATACGAATCTTTTCTTATAAATCTTAATAACATCAAAAACTGTAGAATCACTTAAATTAAGTCAATAGGCAATTTTTGTAATAGGTTTAACTTTCTTTTGATGCAAATCAATAACTAATTTGCGAGTTTGCCATTCGTAACGAGACATTGCAAGAAAACATTAAAATAAGGAATATTTTCTGAAAATAAAATTCGAATTATAAAAGCAAATGATTTTTAGATTTTTGCCTAGCTTCTTTATCCAAAAACTCCTTAAATGTCGGGTTTTTTTTTTTAATTTATTTATTGCAGACGATTTCAATTAAAATTTATAAAAACGTCCGAATAATTTTGTGGTATCACTTTTCCATTTAAGCCTAAAACGTTTTTAAATTTACTATTCAATTTTTTAAAATTTATTTAGTACAAAGAGAGAGCTAATAAAATAGGTATACAGATAGAAAATATTCTCTATTATTTTAATTCAAAAACATTTTTTCCCATTACTAAAAAAAAAAAAAAAAAAAAAAAAAAAAAAAAAAAAAAAATATATATAGTGGCCGATCATTTTTTCTGAGACATTATATTTATGAAATACAATTTTTTTTTAAATTTTAATACACTTTCAATATAAGTTTGGTCAATCACATTTACTCTTACACTAATTTACTAACTAAACACTGTTATGTTCCCCACACTCAAAGTTTCATGACTTAATTTATGCTTATAAATGTTCTAAATTTTTTTTCCAAGTTCCATAACAACATTTACCCTAAGAAGCAAAATACATTATATAATTTACTAAAAAGTAGGATTAAAGAATTTCTCTAAAATGTAATATTAGTTAAAATGATTTACGATAGCTAAACTACACCACAATAAAAATTATTATGAAGCAAATTTCATATTTTCTTTTACTTTCCATTAATAAATTAGAACACTTCTGTTAGACCTTAAAAATATTAATTTCCTTCAATTAAAAAAATAATAATAAATATCAAGTACTCACCCACGCTGGTGCATTCTGGCAAACCTAAGAGGAAAATATTTATCGTCAACATTTATTTCAACTTACATTAAAATCACAGATAAAATAATCAAGTTAAATATCGGTGTATCATCTGAATTGCTTATAATTTTTTCGGGATAAAACTATATCACGGTCGCGTGCGAACGGCGATATGAAGCGAAGTTGAGGATTACTGCGCAGTTCTGAGAACTGTGCCGTCTGAGAGTTCCTGGTCACGTGACACTGCCTTTCGCTCACTCCTCCTCAATGAGTGGCCGTGAGACCCTACCACGAGATTGGCGACGTTTCTAAGTCTGTTAAACCTACTTCTGGCGAGATTTCGTTTCTGTTGGCGACATCTTATTTCAATACCTATGCTCGAAAAGCTAAGGGAAATTTCTTTTCCAACCTTTTTCCCTTCCTCTAACAATAGAATTTTATATTTATTCTGCACGTTTTTTTGGACACTCAATAAATGATGGCTTTTGATGAAGGTTTTAACAATTATAGATAAAATTTCTTTCACAGTCTAACTGTATTTTGCTTTAAAACTAGACAACAATCAATAAAATTAGGTTGTAACTGATCTTAAATTATAGGTCCAAATATTTTTGAAAGAACCTCACACTGGCTTTAATTCTTCAAAAGAAAAAGGACTCGTGCGAGTCATGTCGGATTCTTCCATGAAGAATATTTATTAGTCATTATGTTAATTAGTCATTATCTCCATAAAGCCAATCTAATTTCGAATGTTTATTAGCCATTATCTCCATGAAGAACGTTTCGTTAGCTCAGAAGAATTTCAAAATGGCATTTTGCATCGATTCACTTTTCAAATTGTTGCCACTAAATAGTATCGCCATGTATTATACTTAAAAAAACTAAATAATGAAGAATCTGTATGAATGTTTCTCGCACTCAGAAAAAACAACGTTACATAGAGCCATCAAATTTTGAATAACGTAGTCTTCCCACCGAACATGGGCACTTGGAAGCCCGAATTTTGAATTTGTTAATATCTATTTCAAATTTTGTAAAACTTTAACGAATTTTTTATTCAAACTCAACGATTTCAAAGTGAGCAATTATACGGAGGCGCGACTTTTTATCTCCAACGCGCGAGACAGTCTATCGGAAATTCTAAAGATATGCTGTTTTTAAATATTTTGTGATATTGGTGTTGAAATGAATTTTGTATTTTCTTTTTTTATTAAATGATTTCAAAAATTAAATTAAATCTGATAGTTATAAAAATATCATTAACACAATTAAGCGCAACTTCTAGAATTTTAGTCAACAAATATGTATGAAATATTTTCTTTAATTCTACAGGAGAATGCGGGATTTCGATATAAACAACCAGCTAAACAGTACGGACAACCAGCAGGATGAAATGGAACTTTTACGGTTTTCTTCATCTGTAAAGTGAATATGAGTCAATTTCGCTGGAAAAGTTGTCCAAGAATGGCACCCTTCATTTAATCGTTGCTTTGCCGTAATGCAAATAATTCAATCTAATTTCGAAAAGCAAGTCATTTACCGTGGCCCGCCTCCCCACAACTGCCGAGCTGTTAAGAAAGCTAAATGCCGTTAATTTGACCAGGTTTCGAACCCAGGCGAACGGCCTGGCTGTGTGGTTGTTTTACCTGGTTTTTCCACATATATAGCGTGTAGCCAGTTTTCCTCAGAAAGCTCTCCACAAAGACATTTCTTCTCTTTAGCAGATAGCCTTCATATGCTTTGCCATATTCAAATAAATTACTACCTAATATTGACACGCCAGTGGACGAGCGGATAAGAAGGCTGAACACTGATCCTTTCAAATCTCGGTTCGGACTGCGCATGGGAGTTTTTGTGAATTTTTTCCGTGTGGAAGGTGAATATGAGTCAATCTTCCTGAAAAGGTCCTCCAAGTCCAAAAGGGAGTCCATCTTTGACAGACATTTTGTTTTGCCACAGTCTAATAAATTCAATTCCTTACCTCGTTTAACTATTAAAATATTCATTCTTTTCTCCACTCGTCATAGAATAGATAGAAAACATTGTGTAGGTACGAAGTTCTTGTATGCTTTGTCTTAAATGAATAAATCCAAACCAATGGCTTTATGCTGGTTTTAGAATACTAATACACGCATTACAAATCTCAATCAGCTCAGTTAATTAGAAACCATATAAACCACATACACAAATCTTAATATGAAGATTTTAAAAATGGAGCTTGTAGAGTCATTAGTATTTTTAAAAAAATGCGGGAGACGTGAAAAATTAGCAATGTCCTCGCCGGAACTCGAACCTAGACCTCTCAAATATGCACCGAGTGTGCTAACCGTTACACCAGGAAGGCATGCAGAAAGGTGGGAGACAGTTTGGTTAGGTGGGTCGGGCTGCGCCCACTTCTGGTACCTTATAAGCTTATGGAAAATAAAGAAAGGCAATCGAAATTACGAAACTACAAAAGAATTCTAGAAGGTTAGGAACAAAATAAAATATTAAAAAGCTAATAAATAGAAAATGTAGTCAGCATCAAAGACACTTAACAGTCCCGATAGCTGAGTAAACCAGAATTTTGAAACAGTCCAAGGGTTCACTCATATTAAAAGGTATTTCTCACACGTTCTTAGCATGCCTTCGTGGTGTGGTGTTCTGCACGCTGGTCGCGTATTCCAGAGGTCCGCGATTCGATTCCCGGCGAAGGCGTTACTCATTTCTGATAACTCCTGCTTCCAAAATACCTAATGTCTCTACAATATGATTCACTAAAGAATCCAACATTTCTGGACAATTGCTAAAGCCACGCAATCGATTGCAAAGTAAGTGCACAGGGCGTTGTTGGACAACACCTTTTATATAATCGTATTTGCCGCATTTTTCGCGAGGGGGGAGGGCACCGGTGAACTCCGAGGCGCTGCAGATCATTTTTCTGATTCATTATTTAAATTTTTGCGAAATATTATTCTTCAATCCATTATAGTAACAATGGCATTATTTAAAAATTTATCAACATCGATATTTACTCTAATTATGCATTTTTACTATTGGTCGCGTCGCTGATCACCGGTGGCCCCCCACGGCGCTGTAGCGAAATCGAGTGGGTCACCCCCCCCCACACACACACACGTGCCCACGTCTCCCGCATTTAAAACAAAAAAGAAAGTGCTTAATGCACTTTCATTTTTGTAGGAATTACATTCGTTTCGGCACTAATTAAAGCATACCTCGGTATATAAGAGCATAACTCTTTAGATTAAGTCAACAATTAAACTATAATACCACGCTTCAAGCAACATAATTAGTCACAGTAGACTTATTCATTATTCGCTGGTTCTGGCAGCAAATACTTCAGGAAATTAAGGAACCTACGCTTCTAAATTCTTTTACTATTTTCGAAAAATCACGCAAGTGTCAACCCAGTTCGATGCGATTCGATTTCGTAATATCACTTGAAGCTGCAATACTTAAATGATTCCGATCAGATATATTGTTACAGATTTTGTATTTATTTAGTTTGCTATTTTTAGTAGAATTGTTATTAAAATATTTTTATATTCCCGTGCGATGCAACGCGAGACTTATTTGAAGAGAAAACTATGCTGGGAAAATTAAATACAGGAGCACGCGCACTAACATTATTTAAAAAATATCTATCTCGTAATTGTACTCTTTTGCTATCCAGAAAAATCGAGAAAATACGAGAATATTCTCGTGCATGAATAAAAAGCTTATAAAAGCTGGAGGAAAATATCTCGATTCAGTTGTTGTGTGAATAACTGTCGTTGTTCACTGTAGCGAATTCGAGGTGAAATCGGATTAACTTTCTCTGTTTTGAATTAAAATCTGTTGAACGTTACAGTAGTTTAAAAGTTTACTTTTCGCCACTGATACAGGCTTCCGACCTAAGGTAATTGCGAGAATTGCCAAACGGAATTAGTGCCTAGTCAGTGGAAGTATTCAGCCTCTCCATCAAGCGTGCTCCAATGGTGAGATATTGCGATATTGTACAAATATCCCTGAGGAAATTTAAGCATTTTGTTTTCATCTGTTGTGATAAGAATAAATTTTACTTACTTTTCAGCGGGGTTGTGCGTTCAATTTTTTACGAACCCGTACGCACGCAACAATATGTTAAAAAAATAACATTAGTACTCTGATCAGCAACAGACAGATCAGTTTAAGTTACCAAACACATCTCTCAAGCGATTAAATGCATAGTTAAAAGACTTCACGAGCACAAAAAAGAAGAGGAATCGAAGGCATTTGGGACGTCGGCTAAAAAAAAAAGAAAAAAAAAAGAAAACAGTCAACGTTGCATCTTCGCACGCATCAGATTATACGTGTGAAACTAGTTTCCCCATTACGCATGAACTGAATTTCCATTATAATGTACAAAGGATTTAACGGGCAAAAATTTACACAAAAAAGACGACAAAATCTAAAAAAGTTCCAACTATGGAAGATGTTGAATATATAATGATAATAAAAAGTTACAAACATGATTCAATTATACTAAACAGTGCCACAGCTGCAAAAAGAAAGCAAACGCATTTCTTTTACCTTTAAGTTTATTAAATGTTGCGTAATACGTAAACTGTTCGTTTTCGGTTTTTAAAACTTGATTCCGTTCGAAAACAATTCATAGTTCATTTGCAATCTGGTGAAATATTTACTCAAAACAGGCTTTTTTGGGGGAGGGGTTTATTTAATTACGGCAAAGCACACTAGGGCTATCTGCCTAAGATGAGGGATGCCTTCGTGGAGGACTTTCTAAGGAAACTGCCTCGTATACACGTTACACATGGGGAAAACGACGAAAATGCCCATGCAGCCAGCCCGTTCGCGGGATTCGAAATTCTGACCGAGCTACCAGTGTCCAACGATTTTTCCGCTCGGCCGCTGGTGGACCTTACTCAAAACAGAGTCAGTTTTGAAAGATTGAGAGGAGGGGTGAATCGGAAAGTTTTCAGATTTTATATTACCCACAGAGTGGCGTTTTTATTATTTTTATTATTTTTAAGTTATTAAAGTCTTCATTATTTTTATTTACATACATATACACATTTCCAGAATATCTGGAATGTTCCTTTGTGCTAAAAATATTTAAGAACAGCCCATCTTTAGAATTTCCGATACACAGTCTTGCACGCTGGAGAAAAAAATGTTTTTCCCGTACAGTGTTGCCATTGCTCGCTTTGAAATCATTGAGATTGTAATGAAAAATTCGTTAAAGTTTTACAAAATATGAAA